TTTATTGTTTTTGGCATTTTCTCAAGTACAGACAATTATACCAATTACTAGTATTTTAAAAAATTTGTCTTCATTTTACGTAATTTTACTAACATCTTCTGTTTATTTTAATTTTTTTTGCAGTTTAAAATTTAAATGTGTAACTATTGACGTTGATTTATTCAGATCAAAATTGTTCTTTTGCTTCTTAATTAATCTTGATACCATTAAAAGTAGATATTGCATTTGCAGATGAGATTAAATCACAGGGTGATAGACAACAAAACAGGAATGATAGTCCAGTAATGGCCCAAGTCATAAGCTAAGCAAAACACCAAAACGATGACGTAAATGGACGATTTCTACCACTTGTTAGCAAAAAAACTTGAGTGGAAGAAGTAAAACAAACTTACAAAGATAAAATGTTTTGGTTTATATCTGCAGAAAGAAATTTATGATTAGAGATAGCTATAATTATATTTTAAAAGACTTTTAGATATCACTACCAATTAATCCCATGTTACAGATTCAATCTTTCACATGCTATATGTTTGAGTCGTCTTGTGTATATAGATTTTTCGGATAAATTAACCAAAAGTAGAAGAATCATAATTGTGTATATAATTTTCGGATAAATCTCGAATCAAGCCTTTTGGATCCATATATGCCACTTCATTGACATATACAAACCACTTGTAATGATAGACACATATAAGAAAACTTCGACGAAAACGAAGTCTATTTGTTATTAGAATTTGAATGGAGTAGAAAATAGAAAATGACATGAACTTGCATTCTCTTTGTAGTTTAAACGATTTGCTACACACATCAAAATCCATACATAGAAAAACACTAAAAAGAAAAGAAAAGAAAAATACTAACCTACACATGTTATTCAAGATGACTGACCCTATAACATTGGTCTGCTGCAATTGGGAGTCTTTTAACTCTATGAAAACAAAAATTACCTGGAGAAGCGAGGCGAGGAAGGATCATCAGGTGAAGACATGTGAGCAGAAGCAGCAACGCCACGAAACCTTGGCTGACCTTCATATGCCCCACCAGCTGATATGTTTCCGTCATTTGGATGTGGCGCTTCACTCCCCGGTCCAACAGACCCAAACTCGAGATGTTCAGATGATGAATTGTAAACATTATTATGATCATATGGATAAAACATCATGACAGATGGACCATTGTGCCCCTCTGAACTGTTTTGCTTCATCCCCGGCGGCAATCGGTACATGCCATATGCAATATTTCCAGAAGCATCTTGTGAAGTGTTTGAGCGAATAGGACCGTTTTGAGAATGATGAGAAGAATACGAGGACGATTCATGCCTATACGACGACCCCCATTGCCTATCAGATCGCTCTTGCCTCAAGTTTGGCTTATTATCAGCTTGGTTACGATTGTTGTGGCTACGTCCAGAACCCCGTGTCTTTGCACCAGCATTCCAATTCCCTTCCCTATCACTGTGATGCTCATTTCTGTCATGCCCATAATTCCCACGCCTCACGCCAGATGTAGGACGCTGCTCCCTAGGGGAAATCTTCTGCAAAAAATTCAGCACAAGTTTAGAGTCGTGTGACAACCAAAACCGTCATAAGTTATATATCAGAAGATACAAACAAACGAAAGACAGGAAAAACAGTAAAGGAGTAGACAGCAACGCGCCATCAATGCATAGCCTTACATGCAGGGAAGATATGGATAAAGAAAAAGATCCTGAACCATATACCCTAAAACATGGCCACATTCGTCAAGATGCAGACTAAAATGCAAGTATGGTAAGCAGACAAGTCATGCTGTAAATTCATTCACGACCCATAGTACCGTAAGACTGACAGACAATTGATTAATGATAAAGTAAAGTAAAATGATAGCTCAGGTTTGGAGACAGTACACAAGACCATTGATTTAACTCATCACAAAGAGACAATAAAATGAAAGTTGTACCACGATTCACCAAAGCATACACACAAGTATAGTGGAAGCTCAAGGATGGTATTCAGTTCTTACAGGATTTGGAAAATAGGTCCCTGTCCCACTTCGATATCTCGGAGTATCATTAGCGTAACGAGGGTAAATGTTGGGTGGCCTGGTTGAAACAGGTTGTACAGGAGCAACAGGTACAAGACGAGGTCCGTAGGTCATGAGCTGATTCACGACATTGGGGTAAGCAAGAGGTCTTCCAGGACCATCCCATGGTAAACGACCCTGGAGATAAGCAGGTGGCACTACAACAGGAGAAGGAAACAGCAGATGCGGATGTTGAGAATTCTGGCAAGAGCGGCCATACTGCAAATTATGCCAATGGCTTACTAAATCACCATTAAGAATATCATTTTTATGCTCCGTTGGTTCTGCAGAAGAGCCCATTCTAGTGGAGAGCGAAGAAACTACTATCTCAGACTGTTCAACTCCCCTGGATAAGTCAAAACTTTTACAGGGATCATGATTCTCTACTCCTTCATCCACATTGAGGTGGCTTGCCAGAGCATCTGATGTCGCATTACCACCAGCTGGATAGTTGCACATTGGAAACATTGCGACGATAGGAACAGGTGGCCCAGTGGGATAAAAAGTATATCCAGAATTATCAACCTCGTTTTGTTGCATGCCATGGCCAAGGAGAAATGGAGCAAGGGACACTGTGGACTCTGATCCACTTACCTGAGCTGGCTCATGACCATGTAGTTGATGCCTCGGAAATTGAAATGAAGCAACAGTAGGCCGAGAGCGGAGATCCCTTTCTGTTATTTCATTGCTTGATACAGGAATCCACTCTCTGTTACCATCATCAATCTGTATTGAGTGCTCAGGAACGCTCTTCCCTTTTCCATACAGTGCAGATGCACCCCCAGAAACTACTTTCCTATTCCGTCTACCTGGCTTTGCGCCCCTTGTAGTTGATCCATCCCAAGAGCTTTCAGATGAAGTCCTGCTTTTAACGGAACTAGCACAAGACACAGATCTAGAGCCTGCATTTATCTCCTCATTCTGAATCTGATTACCTCCCCTGACTGGAGAGTGAGAATTTTCCAAATCATTTCCCCTTGTTGATCGTGTTTTTCGACTTGAGGGTACAAAACTGTGCTCTGCAGAAGATGACTGATGTTTATAATCTGCCTGATGCATTCCATAACCACCATTTTCAAGTCCAAAACTAAGTGTTCCCCTCTCTTGATCATGCCAGGTATCATGGTCAGACTCGTCAGCAGTCATTTCAGCAGACCCCATGTTGTCATTACCAGCTCTGCTCGGCTTTTCTGAAATGGGGTGGGATCCACTGGGAAAATAATGGGTAAATGATGAAGAAACAAAGTTTTGCGGATATTGCACATTCGTACTCCAAGGTGTCTCAATGAAAGGAAGGTTAGAAGGAACAATACCAGGCACATTCCTTTGACCATAACCCATCGAAGCTAAGATGGAAGGTGTAATTGGAAATGGTAAGTGACCCGTAGAAAAATTGAACGGGAAAGGGAAGTGTCCATTAAAACCTTGCCCAACAGATGTCATTGAGTTAACAAGATCTTGCTCTTCCTGTTGCATTCCCTGTTCCCCTGCAGCAGAAAAATCTTCATTCACGGAAACTGAACCTAAGTCATCATAATAACTGTTCACTGCACTGCTCATGTCAGCAGTACTATCGGGACTTCGAGGGGATGGAGTATGCCTAACCGACGATGAGTCAGCTGAATATCTGGCATTGTTTGACAAAGTTTCGGACTCCAGATTCTCTTTCCTAATATTAACAACCCTCGTAGAACTAGTTTGGCATTTTCCAGCTTCTGGGGCTCTACTGTGACGTGATTGCAAAATAGCTTCACCGTATGTCTCAGTAAGCTCAGGGCTAGACCGGGTCCTGGCGAAAAGACGCTTACCATGAAAACTATTCACCTTGATTTCTGGCTTACCGGTTTGCTGAAGCTTATCATTTGAAGCACTTTGATTAGAACTGACATCCTGAGCAGGTTTGTAAGAGTTACCAGAACTCTTTTGCGTTTGATATGTTGTGCGAGATATAACTTCTGTTCCACAATTTTGTTGAGACGGCATACTGCGAGCATCATAAACCCCACCAAGACGAGCGGCATTTTGGTTTTTTTTGCTGCTTGAGGAATTAGTAACATTTTCAGCTTGATGATATGGCTCAGGATCTCCCAGTCTTGATAGCCATAAGTCATTGCCAGGAGCATCAGGACGTTGACCACTGCCATGTCTTTCCCATGTATTCATAAAAAATTGGTTAACCTCATGGATCAAATTCTCCTTAGGGCATTCAAGTAACCTAGCCAACTTCTTGGCACCAAGGGTAAATGCACTTCGTATCCTGAAGAAGTTACCTGAAACAACAATTGAACAAGAAAAACAAAATCCAAACATGTAAGGAAGTCAACATATTTGTGCATCTTCTAGCTCCATACTATATAAAGAAAGAAAAAAACAAGTCCAATAAACTACTACGGCAAGATTTGAACAGAATGCGGATTGCAGAATTACAGCTTTGCATTCAACTATAAAAGTACGGATTTATAACTAATAAATGAAAACTAAAAAGGCAGTAGCTTCAACCCAGGAAAGTACCTTTACTGACACTGCGACCAAGATTGTTGTTTTCACGCAAAGGGTCAATAACATTGAAATGTTTGGAAACAAAAGGTTGCCCCTGTGTCTCTTGAACAGCAGAGTTAACTGCATAAGCTCTACTACAAGCTTTTAGATATTCGCTACCCCGTAACTCTCCAACATCCCTTCGAGGAGGCTCCGCTGCCAAACATTGCATAGCAAGACAATCAGTACTAGAGACAGTTACGATGTACTATAATTAATGTAAAAGTGAGATGGATATCAGTTTGTAAATACCTGTTACATCTGGTAGTGAACTAACTGGGACAGGGCCCCAGAGGCTAATACAAAAATTCAGCCAGTCAAACTTACTAAAGAACTCAAGAAAACGATAGAGAACCTACAGATGCAAGCAATCCAGTCAGATGAATTTAAAAAAACAACATTTGCAGAATAAAGGAGGTTTCATAATGACGCTACCTCAAGGGGTCCAGAAAATGAGTTGTTGAAAACATGAAATATGTAAAGAACCAAGGTTTCCAGGGCATATGTCGAAATAAGCCCATGGTGAGCCCCCAATATACGGCTCTCGTAATAACACCAAGCTTTAATCAATATGATACTACGCTTGAATAAATGGTTCTGGTTAATTTGTTGATCAACCTGCATATAAAACAACAAGAAGATATCAAAATCTTCCTTACTCCGGAAGAGGAAGCAAGTGGAAATGTTTTCTTTGGTGGACAGCTAACCTCCTCGAGGAAGCATAGTGTACACAGCCCTCCAATCTGATTGAAAGATATATCCACTACAATATTCTCCACCAGACACTTGATTAACTTTACCTGAAACATTGTAGCAGTGAAAAATTCATAAACGATCCAATACGTCATGTGACTCAACCATACTTAGGAAATAAAACAAAAGAAGCAAAATGGTAAACGATCAAGAAGGCATACTTCTGCCTGAATGTACTGGACTTCTTTGACATGGAATTCAGCATTCTCATTCTTCTCTTCCTTTTCCAACATATCGCGAACCAAATTAGCCCACGAATCCTTCAGATTTTGGTTTGTGCTGAAGGCTGTTAAGTCAATGTCTCCGTCAGGCAGATAAGTCTTTAGAGGTACAGATCCAAAAGTAAATATCTGGTATACAAGAAACGTTACAGTTTAGACAAAGAAACCATTTCATGATAAGCTTTATAAACCGATCCGCAAAGAACAAGTTTACATTCTAAATCGAGCCATACCTCAACCTGACGAGGGAAGCATTCCATGATAAGCCTTCTAACATATCTAGCAACAGCATTTCTACGATCTTCAGAAGGCGGATTTGGCTGAATACAAGCAATAAGCTTAGCGGTTCTATCCTCCGCTTTAGCCCATCGTTCCGCATCGAGCGGACGTATCACAGATGCAGCCTTGCCTGGCAATAGACCGTTTGGATATAAACCGGTGGGTGACGGCGGAGAAACCGCCCATGATTCATGCTCACCCATGAAAATCTCTTCCTTCTTCAAAGTCACCGACTTTAATACACACAACGAACACACTTTAACCTTCTAATCTAAAAACAAAGACCTTTTATCCCCAACCGTAACGGTTGCTTTTTTGCGGTTGCTGCTTATTAAGCAACCCTCAGATTTATCTATCTATCGCTGCTTCAAAGTCACAAATGATAGAAAAAAAAAACTTCGATCTAACAATTACCCCCAAACACACAAAAAAAAAAAAAATTGTGAGAATCTAATCGATTGTGTATGAATCAGGAACTAATCGAATCAGGCAGAGAACAATTGGGCAAAATTAAGGGGAGGAATCGAATTGGAGAAGAAGAAGAAGAAAACCCTAGGAGGAGAAAACGATGTTTTTAGATTCTAAAAACAGATTGGGCGGAAATCAATAAGAACCCTAGGAATAATCGAGAGAAAATCTAGCAGTATCGACGAATCGAGAGGCAAATGTTAGATTGATCAAGGTTAACACTGGAAGGACTGAAATCGTGCG